ATATTCCATTTTAGATATTTATCACAACTATAATTATGTTTGGATGGTTTTTCCATTTTTTCCCTTCAATGATCAGATATTCTCAGTTGTGCTCAAAAGTTGTCCTCCTGCCTTTGATAAAACAGATTCTTTGATTCTCATATTCCCTGCTTCCTTGGGCATAAAAATATTGATCATACAAGAGAAGATTACAGATCACTTTAATAAGAAAGTTTGCTTCTAGAGGAATTTCTATCACATGGAATGCTTTTCTTGTTTTAATTTTCTTTTTTTACAGCTTGATGTGAAATTTTTATTTTATTTGTTGAGTATAGTGATGCTTCCACAAAACAGTCAATTAAACAATTGGAATTCTCTGATATCAGAAAAATCCAAATTTCATAAATTTTTCAACAACTCTTAGGATTCCAAGAAGTTTCTTTTAGAAAGTTTTTCCTTGCATAAGAATTTTTTAAAATTTGCATCTAGTTCCCAAATGAAACATTTTTGGCTACAACAGATATCCTTTGGAACCTGATGAACTTCCAGGTCAAAATTTGTAGAAAAAAAAAATGACTGCATATTAAACCCAGTGTGTAGGTGAACCTCAATAACTTGAACCTCCCTAAGTCAAATTTTTTCAGGTCCTCATCTGAATCCCCTTAGAAACAATAGAGAAAAAAACTCCCCAAGTCAAAAGCTTTTCACCTCAAACCTCCATAAGTCAAATTTTCTTTGGCCTGTTGGCCATTAATTTCTTGAAAAAGAGAGAAAAAAGCAATAAAAACAGAAATCTATGTGTTTTAAAGGAAGTGAAAGACTTCATTGGCAAACAAACCCCTGCCTCCAAGTTCAGCAGCCTTTTGTAAGCCATTCAAGAAGCCATTTAAGCCCCAGAATATCACCCTTCACATTTTTTGTAAGTTTCTCAGAAAAGAATGGCTTTGTGTTGCAGTTCCAACCTATAATATTCAAAACCTTCAAAAGTTAAAGCCTCCCTAAGTCGAATTTTTTGTTGCAGGTCTCTTGAAATTTGACTTACGGAGGTTTGACTGTACAGTCAAACCCTGTTGAACTGCTAACGTTTGTGCAGCAGAATTTTGGCAGTTTAACAGAGTTGGCACTTTAACAAGGAAGGGGTTGGCACAGTCTTTAATGAATAAGTGCATTTGATTTTTTTTTATGTTTCAACCTCTATCCCTCCTCATCCTGCTTTTGGTGAAGATACTCTTCATTCTTTTTTTGTGGGGACATGAATCTCTCATTCTTTGCATCTCTAAATTGAGAAAAAAAATAATTTTAAAAAATATTACCAGAAATATAAAGCTTCGAAGAGAGGAGCCAAAAATTGGCAATTTATCAGGGTAAAAAACAGTGCCAAGATCCTGTTTTTTTTGGCAAAAAAAAAAACATTGGCGGTTGGCGGATGGCGGTTTTCCCATCCCTTCAAGCTTGAGAAGATTTGTTTGAGAGGAAAAAGTGGTGGGAAGCAAGGGTGGGGGTTAATCGGGGGAGTGGTTCAACCGGGTTCAACTGTAATTAAGAGAGGCAGTCATTTGCATGGTGCTCAGTTTGGGGGGGGGGGGGGTCCAATGATGTGCTTACGGGGGGGTAAGAAAGGGGTCGAAGACGTTCATAATCCTCTTGGCCAGCTGTGTCCCAAAGAGTGATGTTGTGCTTGGTGTCATCCACTACAACATCTGCATTGAAGTTGTCAAACCTGCAACAACAACAACAACAACAAAAGGAAAACAATTACACATTTTTAACCAAAACATTTCAAAAAAATCAATTGCATTTGATCAATAACAGCAGGGGGGGGGGGGGGAAATTTATGACATGATTTCCAAGCATAGAACTTCAGGGTCACGTGAAATCGTTGAAACAGACGACGAGAAAATCAACACTTCATTGCTTTGTTTTTTTTTGTGTCGTCTCGGCAATTAATTAATTAATTAATCAATTACTGTAGTCTTATGAAATTCCACAATTATTGATTAATTCCAGCGGTTTCTCGAGTTCCCCATCGTCAATAAGCATCTGATCTTATCGTACATAAAACTTCAAATCAGTTGCATGTTTTTGAATGAAATTGATTTTTTAAAAAACGCAGCATGTTGACAGATTTTTAAGCTCAGGCCTTACTTTCGAAAAATTAAGAAAATTCAATGGTTCGAATAATTCTGTTGAATGGGATACTTTTGAAAATGGTGAGTCAAATTCTTACTCCTCTGAATTCGATCTAAAAAAGGGTTCTTTACAGGATTTTTTTGTTTGCAGGCTATAGTCTCTGAAATTTCGTTGTAACGAGATTCAACTTTAGTAAAGTAGAATCCTGTTACCACAAGTCTTTCTATAACGAATTCATGCGTAAAACGAACTTGTTTTTCAGACCCTGTTCAATAGCCACAATGTTATTTTTTTCTATTTCATTTTTACGATTTAATTCGTTTAATTATATTTTAACAATTTAATTCGTTATACATTAATTCCGTTTTGAAAATTTAATTTGTTTTAAAGATTGGATTCGTGTTACTTTTGTTTTAAAGATTTAATTTGTTTAGAAGATTTAATTCGCGTTAATTTCGTTTTAAAAATTTAATTCGCTTTAAATTAAATTTAAGGATTTATAGCAATTCGTTTTAATTTATTCCAACGATTGAATTCTTTTAAAGTTCTTTTGACAATTGAATTCGTTTCAATTTCGTTTCAACAATTTTTGCTTAAAACGAAGCCATTTTACAAGTCCCAAACGTTTTGTTTTACTGTAACAAGATTATAGTGAATTTGTTTCATCTGCTACCAAGTGTAAGATGATAACTTACTGTGTCTAAAATATTTGGATACAGAAATACATAATAGTGAGATCCCAAGATGCAGACATAATTGGTGCATCAAGAGTGTTCTTAAGTCAAAATGTCCCAAGTTGAGTCTCATTTTCCCTTAGACTTACATTATATAATAATTAATTGGTGTTTTACCTACAAAATACTCACCATAATTTCATAAGAATAAAAAATGGTCTCCCAATTTAAACTGATTCAATGAATATATTTCAACACAATATGGACATTTGGGGAACTGAATACTGATACCTCTGTACCGTACATAGAAATGTTGGCATTTGTTGGAAACAGTCATTTGAATTTGTAAACAATTAATGATTTTTTACTGTTTTTCTTGAAGATTTGAAATAACTGATTTAAACGCAATAAATAACTGCTTGACACCCTAGTGTAAGGTTGATATATTTTGAGGTTTGGTAGGATTGGATTCAAACAGCAGTTCAACAGACAGTCTTTTGCATAAGAAAACACAGAAGCAACTGATGATTGTATGCAAAAACATTTTGCTATTTAAACATTTCTTTTAATTACATTTTTGTCCCTGAGCATTATCCTTCAGAAGGATTTCCCCAAGGATCCCAAATCTTGTTGGAACTTGAGGTCAAGTAAAATCCCACCGGTTTCCTACCCTCTCAAAGCATTGCCATTTTCCTGGCGCCAATGTAATCCTATCATATTTTAGACTATTACTAATTTCTTTCCAACAGCATTATCTTTAGAAATGACATTCAAGTGGAAAAGAGAGAAGGAATCCCTCTATGCTGGAGGTAATTTTTTTAAATTCAGCGAAATGGATGGTAAATTGGTGAGAGAAATGCCCAAGAACTTTTTTTTTACATCAATTTTAGGGTTGGAAATATCTTTTTCTTGTAATTTGGCCTGAAATGTATTTTTAATTTCATCACAAAATGTCCCTATGTTGAGTCAGTGTCCTCATTTTGGGCCTTTTTAAATACAGTCAACCCCTGTCTAACGGACTTGATTTGTGCAAGGGGCAAGTCTGTTAGACAAAAAGTCCTTTACACAAATTCAATTACATAAAAATTAAAAATTTCAATTTTCAACACTAATTTTAAACCAAAAGAAGTCTGTTTGGCGGATTTTGTCTGTTGAGCAGGAGGAAAAACTGCTTGCAGAGCTGGTCTGTTCGGCGAAAATCCCTTACATGGGAGGTCTGTTAGGCGGGGGGCCACTGTATATGTTTTTAAATGGGAAAATAAGTGTCCCTATGTCGAATTGTCCGCATGTCGAGGTGTCCGCATGTGTGAGTCTCAACTGTACAGTATTCGGAAACGTCAACAAAAAAAGGGACTCACACAGTAGGAACGTGTTCCTCAGGAAACTCGTTGTCCGCGAAGGCCACCAACATGCAGGTCTTGCCAGTGTTGCCATCCCCCACGACCGTGATCTTGATGGAACCCGGCGCAGTTTCGCTTCCATTCATCCTCATTCCACAATTTCACTTCACCCCCCCAAATCTTCCTCCTGTGTGTCTCCCTTCTATTCCTTGTACAGTGGGCCCCCGACTTACGACGGGCCCATGTTACGTCGGTTTCAACTTGCGACGCTTTTTTAAATATAAAAAACCCCCAACTTACGTCGGGGTTTCATGATACGACAGCTTCTGAGGTTTTTCAGCTCCCTCCCACCAACCATTTTTTTGGCGCCATGCATGCTCCAAAGGTTTTCCTGGGAGGAAGTGAGTTTTTTTGGTGCCAAGGTTCATTCCTAGCCAGATTAAACTGTTAATAGTGTGAGATGGCACCATGCACAGGAAATAAATTGTCCTTAAGTTTGGAAATTGCTGTGTTCAGAGCATTTTTTAAATTTTGTTTTTGCTGTACAGTTCATTTCATTATTGCTGAATAATTGTGTTTAGGAGGGATTTTGAATTTTGTGTTTTCTGTACTACCCTGTGCATTTAATTATAGCTGAATAATTTTGTTTAGGAGGAATTAAAAAGTTGAAATATAAAGGTAATTTTAGTTTAATATTTTTTTTCTGGAACAAATTAATTTTTTCATAATGTAATCTTAAGGGAAATAGGGTTTCAACTTATGACGGCCCCATGTTATGACATCCATACTGGAACGGATTGATGACGTAAGATGGGGGCCCACTGTATGTAGTACTCGTGTATTCTTCCACTCACGCGCGTAATTCTCTCGCATTCGCCACCGCCTACAGTATTTTATATCCACTTTCCGCTCACTTCACCATATTTCAGTACAGTATTTCGTATGGAGTATTTATATAGATATTCCTTTGTTTCCCTGTTTGCCACGGGTATAAAACATTGAACACGAGAACAAGAGGGAAAAAAAGACATGTCAAAAGGCAGGAAGCACCGAATCATTGTTTGCTGGGGTGTGAAGGTTGGGCTCAGGGTTGGGCGCGCGCTGTTTCATTCGGGATGGGAGCCGGTGTCACAAGGACACATGCTCCCAGGGGTTGAACAGCGTCCATAGGCAGACATTTGATGACATTTTCTCCCACTTTCTTGGATATTCCAATGAAAACAGTGAATGACAGGATCCTGCTACTTTGAGAAGAATAACAAGGGTGGTTGAAATAAAGTATGAGCACATTCATGAGCATATGCATTAAAAGAAGGGAATTGAACTTATGAAGATCCATAAGACTGGAGTATTACATGCACTAAAAGGGAGAGAATAATATTTGAATAACAAGGGAGGTTGTAAATATCAGTATACTGAATACAGGTGAACCTTCCTAAGTTGAACCTCCCTAAGTCAAATACCTCCCTAACTCAAATTTTTTTTCAAGTCCCTGTCTGGATTCCCATAGAAACAATGTATTAAAAACCTCCCTAAGTCAAAGTAGTTTTCTCTCAAACCTATGTTAGTCGAATTTTCTGAGGCCTTTTGGTCATTATTTCCTTGAAATATGATTGAGAAAATCAACAAAACAAATTATTTTATGCATTTTGAAATCAAGTGATGGACTAATTGAACAAATGAACCCCTGCCCACAAGTTCAGTAAGCTGTAAACTCTTTAAGAGGCATTAAGAGGCAAGTTTAGGCCCAGAATGTCCTCATCCACATTCCCATTTTCCTTGTAGCAAAAATATTTGTTTCCTTTCCTCAAGAACTCAAAACCTCCCTAAGTCAAAACTTCCCTAAGTCAAATTTTTTTTCCTAGTCCCTAGAAATTTGATTCACGAGAGGTTCACCTGTATAAGGAAATTATTGAAACCTTGAAAATGGAATTCCATGCTTCATAAGAGGATGAGAAAATATTTGTTCAAAACAGAAGGTCAAAATAAGAAAAAAATCACCACCCACAAAAATATATATTGGGGCTAAAGGAATTGGAATTACAATATAACTTTAAGCTGGAGCTTCATACACCAAGAAGGAGAGATTAATACTTGAAGTTTGTTTAAGCTTGTTAAAGTTCAGGGATCTATTATACTAACACATGTCACTAAAATTCAGACTGTGCATTTTCAAAATCTAACAAGAATAGAGCAGTAGAATTTCATTCTAAGAGTATTGCCATAATTTCAGAAATCAATTTGGAAAATTATTAATATTCTGTTCTGTATCTTGATTGAATGCTAATAGCAAGAAGAATTAAATAAAAAAGTCTTATCTGACCAATAGTCAGACATTAAGGCATCATGCACTAAACACATACAACTCATTTTTTAAATGTATTTACAACAACTTCAACATTTTTCACACTATTTTGAAAGGGTAACAAAATGTAAAATGTGATAAATTTCAAGTTACAGGCAGGTTCACAACCAGCCTGTTTTTCTACCCGCCCCCACTATATAATGAGGATCCAAATGCATCATCATGCCTTGCTACAGGGAAACAGGGATGGGTTCCACCAGATTACATCAACCTGTAGTTAAAGAAACCTATCATTCTTGGCTCTTCTTGGGAATTGCTTCTTTCAGCTCATACAGCAAATTGGGGTGTGACAACAGCTCAAGGTTTCCTCATCAGGAAAAAGTTAACCCATCTTTCACCCACAATAATTCTTCCTGGTGAAACAAATTTTTGACAAGGGCATTGCAGTCACACCTCCTCAAGTCAAATTTCAAATGAGCAGCAACAATTTAGGTTTTGGGAAGTTTTGAGCTAGACAAACAAGCCTTTTTTTCTGGGAAACATGGAAGAATTGCAGGAAATTGTAAATAGTAACACTTTGAGCATTTAATTGCTTCTTAAATTAGTTGACAGAATGCTGAACTGATGCTAAAAAAAAAAGAAAATCACAACACAGAAACCTAAGGTATCTTTGGATGTTCAAAAACCATCAAGTCCAATATTTGTGTCAGCTTTGGATAGATGTCTCCTCAAACATGAATCAAACATTCTTGAATACCACTTTGGGTTATGCTAAAGAGTTGGTTGGTCAGTTTCAGTGACATCTATCTGAAAATGCATCCCATCTCTTATCCAGAATAGTTCTTATTGGTGAAGAAAAGTGCTGAAAAGAGCATTGGTGGCACACAAAAAATCACAATACATAAACCTCAGGTATTCTTGGATGTTTAACAGCCAATTAGTAAGTCAAATATCCTCCACAACTTTTGACAGATGTCACCTCAATCATAAACCAAACATTATTATATTCAAGTTAATTAACTTTAGGTTATGACAAAGAGTCTGTTGATCAATTTCAGTGACATCTATCTGAAAATGTATCCCATCTCTCACCCAGAATATTTCTTGATGCAGAAAAGTGCTGAAGAGAAAATCACATTGTAGAAACCTCAGGTATTTTTAAATTTTCAACAACTAATGAATCCAATATTCTCTTCAACTTTGGACAGATGTCACCACAATCATACATGAAAAAATATTGAATTCAAGTTAATCAAGTATAGGTTATGATTACAGAGTTTTTGATCAATTTCAGTGACATCTATCCAACATTTCACACAAACATATAGAAAATAATACAAAAAATCTTTCTTTTTAGGGAATACAATTGGAAAGTTTCCTTGAAAAAAAATCCTTAAAAAAGTTATTAAAGTAAATTTTGAAAGTGTTTTGTGTGGAATTTAAAAAAATTGAAATAATATCTCAAATTTGGTTCAAGTCAAAGGTAAATCTCACTTTTGAATTTTAAAAAAACCTATCTGAATATTCCAAGTGGTAAATTGGGGTAAATAAAGGTTGAAAACTCCCATCATGAAATAATCTTCATATTTTTTTATGCTGACTCCGTCCATAAATTAATCCCAGTAAAAAAAGGCAGAATATCTCTGTACATAAAAAAAAATTCTTTACTTTTTTGTGAGCAGTATACCAGCTTCGCACAAAGGCAACCGGATTAACATTCCCGAATCATAATTCTGAATAAACGTGTTCCTTTCTGCATCCAATGTTAGGGAGATTTGAGTTTGGATGCGCTTGGCAACTTCTTTTTTATTTTTTTTTATAAACCAATAACGCATTCGTTTTTCCAGAAAAATATATAAAAGAATGTGTTGAAAAGTCAAGGTGTGTCATGGCAGCAAGAAGCCTTTTTATCGCATTATAAATCCAGGATTTCTGGGATTATTATTCAGATTTTATTCCGTCGTACTAAAGATTGGATCCCTGTCCCGGTGAATATAGTGGTAATCTCGTTGCGACCTTCGTGGGTAATCTTGACATGCTATTGCTAGCAATTTAGGAGTCAGAGCAGATGATAAGGAATGCAAGCTTTTTTCTGGGGTAAAGGAATTATTCTAAGAATAACGAAAGATGAATGACGATATTTTCCCAAGAGTCTGATTGAAGTTGGTTCAGAATAAAAATAAATGACAAGTCAACTGCTGTTTGGAAATAGGAAGGAAAAAAATCTAAGATTGTTCATGAAAATGAAGATTTCTGAGATCAGACTTTTTTTTCTGGGTAGTTTATATACAGTTAAATCTTCTTACAACAAATACCGTCACAACAAATTTTTCAGTAGAACAAACTTATTTCAAAGTCCCAGCAGAAACCCTAGAGAGTAAATGTTGCAAAAATCTCATTATAACAAACTCACCAATTACAATATAAAAAAAACTCATTGAAGGAACGTTTTGTGATTTTCATGAAAAAGTCTCAATGAAGGCAGGCAGTCTCAAATTCCACATTCAAAATGTGACTGTGACTGGTTCTTGCAACATAAAGAGGAATCAAAAATAAAAATTGGTTGAGAGAGTGACATCTGTTATGAGGAAATCATGGAATGTTGAAAAAAGGCTCAAATAATTGTTAGAAGAGCTTGGCAGTTTTGAATAATTATTGGTTATGGTTATCTTCACAATAACTGTGCAAATCACGAAATTTACCATGTTTTTTGTGAATTTTCCCATTTTTCTGTTTTTTGGAATGGATTATGTAATGCAATTTCCCTTATACCTTAAAGGAAAAGTGTCTTGCCTTAGAACCATTTCACCTAATGACCATCATGCAGGAAGAAATTGTGGT